ACTTTTGCCTGGGAGTCTACGCTGAGGTGTGACGACAGAGACCTGTGGCCCTTCTCACCCTGCTTATGCTGCTCCCAAATCGCCAGCTGGTGGTGCAGACCCACCAGGGTGGGTGAGGAGGGAGTTGGGAAGGGGTAAAGGGTCTAGGTGAGCTCTTCTGGCCGGGGGCTTCTTGTTAGGTCTCTGGGCTGCAGGTGGCAAGAGCTCACTTTGTCATGGCTGCTTTGAGAGCCCTGTGGGTTTTCTGGGCCCTTTCTTCCTACTTGCTTTGATCATTTCTTCCTGTCATTAGTGCCCCACCTGGGGTGAATAGGCGTCTGTTCATGTCTTCTCAGGAAAAGCCACACAACACTAAGCTACAGAGTTCCAAGATGGGCATGGTGGGACACACTGGTAATCTCAGTACTCAGGAGGCTGAGCCAGGTGGATCTCAGCCAAATCCCATAATGTGAAGCCTGGCCACGTTAATAAGGAGAATTTCCCCCAATAAGTTAAACTAAATAGAAGGGAAAGCAGGAAAGACAGCAACGACTGGATACAGTCACGAAGGCTAAGAGTGGGGTGGCATTTCCCGTGTAAGCCTTTTCCACTCAACAGTGCCATGCCATGGCCGTTGGGCTAAGGAGGATGGAACTATAGCCATGCGGTACAGCAACTAGCAACTTAAAGGCAAGAACTCTTAGTTATTTACATATAAAATTTTTTAGGCTAACAGATTCATCACATATAGTTTTGAGCAAGTAAGTAGAAGTCAAAGGCACAAACCAAGCAGGCTGATCTTCGGACTCTCTAATCCTTATGAGGTTTGTATAATAGTTCACATGATCCAATGGAAGAAAAAAAATAATGCAGCAGAGGTAAAAGAGACCTGAGAAGGAAAGAAGAGCTGAAACAAGGGTTGGAGGAGAGAGAGAAAACCTTAGGAAGAAGAGTGGATCATTTACTTGCAGTGACAGGAGAGGAGGCTAGACACATACCGAGGCTAGGACAGGTGGATGCAGAAATGTCAGTCTGAGGAAGTCCTCCAAGAGACATGGGAGCAACATTATCATTTGGAAGTGAGAACGGGGTAGGCACTGGGAGTATGAGGACAGTTCATTCAGGAATGTCAGGTTGGTTTGATTCTCAAAATCAATCTCTGTAGGTTGTTATGCTAGCAAAATGGGGGAGCCAGTGGTCATCTCCGTGGACAAGACAACAGCATCTGAAGAAATTCAATACTCACTTATGATCTCAAAGAATAAAAATACTTGGTGATAGAGCATGTGCTTAGTATGTGACAAGCTCAACCCTCAACAGACAAACACACACTAAATGCCTGTGTAAGGCTTCTGTACATTTTTGAAAAACGAAGAAAGTAAAATTTCCCTAAAATCCCAACTGCTCATGCCACTGAGTGGCTCCCTTTTGACAGTCTTGGCTCTTTCCCGCACCCTTTCTAGTCTGTCCCACCTTTTTGGCAATAACAGCATAAGAGCTTGCAGACAGAAGTTGGCACAAGCAGGAGCCAGGCGGGGCCTATCTGGAATAAGACGTTAGAAATAACCATTTGTTCTCGATTCTTTGCCCTGTAAATAGTTTCTTGACCCTTTGGGGAATGAGATACTTTCTGGCCACATTTCCCACACTTCTTACAAAAATGAGTCAAAGGGTGCAGAACTGACCAGAAGATGACACCCGTCCATTTTTGTCCTCTGGATGTTCATTCTATTTCCTCTCTCAAAAGTGCAAGCTTGTTGACAATGGTTTTCTCAACTTCACATTTTCCCTTCTCCATTTTGAACAAATGAATCGGGATAAATCTAGGCTCCTAGGAAGAAGGCAAACTTGCAAGTCTGCAGTGTCCTGCTGGTTTTTATCATTCACATCTATTTATGATCCTCCAGCACGTTCTAAAGTAGGGTACGTTCTTACTGCTGCAAGGTCAACCACAAAGGACAGCTCTTGTGAGATTCTGTCCTTTGCCCCAAAAAATGTGTAAACAGAAGATTGCCTGGTCTGCCTGCAGTGAGAGAGAGAAGTCCAGCAGGAGCTGTGCACACAGCTGTAAAGGTCCCCTTTCTTCAGAACAGAGGAATGCAAAGAAACTGCAGCTGAGGTATCCAAAGTCTAGCTGATAGCACACATCTCTAGAGCCACTTTTAAACCTCCCAAGCACTGTCAACAGAGAAAACAAACAACCCTTTCCAGTAAGCAACCCCTATCTAAGTTACTCACCTCAACCACAAGGAGCTTTAACCTGAAATCTTGTTCCTTACACATGGACATCTCAAGAGGATGGGTTGCAGAAAAGGTACTCGCCTGGGCTGCCATTCTCTCACTCCAAACAGTTACACTCTTAAACATCCATTGTGCACTGACTCTCCAAGACACCACCTCACAGCTGAGCCTGTCATCTTCCCCCTTAGTCCTCTCTGGTTCCAGCTCAAATTTTCATAATTCCTTAACCCAGACCAATTTCCTTGATATCTAAGATAAAATAAATAAATAAATAAAACCTGTTGGTTGAAGAGGGGAAAAAAAAAATCTCGTCTTGTGAGCATCTTCATGGTCTTCTGAAGGTCACAGACAAGAGTAGTTATGACTTACAGTCAAGTTTCCTGAAGGCTCATGTTTGAATACTTGGTGCGAGCTGGTGGTGAACATTTAGGAGGGAGAGCCTCATCCTGAGAGGGGGAATACTGAGAGCATACAAAGCAATACAGTTTCTTTCCCAAGCTTTCTGCTTCCTGGCTCCCTCTGCCATGGACCAACCCATTCCAACCATCACATTTTCCCTGCCATGTTGGACCGTGTCTTCTCTCAAGCTGTGTCTGTCAGCTATTAGGTCACATGAAGAGAAAAGTAACTAATACACAGGTAGAGAGAAGGAGTATGCCATGCTTGATTGATGCAGGCTCTCCCACAGATAACAGCAATGCAAGTGGACAAGCGCTGTCCTGGATATATGGAGCAAAAGAGGACGAAAAGGATTTTGTCTTTGCTTTAGCAAACAAGTGAGCACACTCCTCTCACCTTCATACAAACTTCCCCCTTATCCTAGTGTCCCCTAATGTCTGCACCATGTGCCTGTAAAATCCCTTGACCTGCCTTCCTCTTCTGTGATGTGTAGTTCTTGGGCTTTTGCCCTCAACACTCTAGCCAAAGTGGAAGATAAATTTGTGGATACTAAACCAACGTCCCCAGAGCTTTCCAATGACTTAATTTTTAAACGATATGTAATAATTAGACGTATTTACTCGGCAGTGTGGAACAGAAGGCGCACGTGGACACTGAGTAATGGTTAGCTCAGGGTAAATGGCACCGCCATTAAAGCAGACTTTTATTTATTCATTTAGGTCTTTCCTTTGGGGGGATTGAGACAGGAATAGTTATCCTGGAACTAGCTCTGAAGACCAGTCTGACCTTGAACTCATAGAGCTCTGCCTGCCTCTGTCTTCAGGGCACTGGGACTAAAAGCGTGTGCCACCACCAGTAATCTTGCTTCTTTGTGTGCGAGATATATTTAGAATCCTCTCTAATGGCTATTTTGTTAACCACAACTATCATACTGAGGTATTTCTCAATCCTTACCCTGCTGGACTAGAACCTTCTCCCCGGACAGGGCTGGTCACTCTCCAGAGGTAATTTTTTTTTTCTTCCCAAACTCTTGTTCTTAAAGTCTATCTGTCCTGTTTCAGTTCCTTCCAGTTGTATAGGCTTGACCCCCAGGAACCCTCACTTACTATCTCAGGGCAACTCAAAAGGCACAAGCCTCCAAAAGAAAACTCCAGCTGTGTGACCTTGGGCATGAAAGTTAACTGAATGAGGCCTCTCTCCGTTGTAAAATGAGCGCTCTACTGATAGGTACTGACACAGAACCTTGGCACGGAGATTAAATGGCAGACTCACATGTCTTGTAGACCCTGGCACACGGAAAGTGACCTACAAGTGTTAACCACTACTCCCTCAAACTCATTCCCTTCTGTAATTACCAAGCTGACTCAAACCCACCACCCATGCAAGCCCTTCAAGAAGCATCATGCACCCTGCTTGACACCATCCCTCCTGAATGCCATCGTGTCCCTGTCCCACTTCCTCAGTATGTCCTTCTTCCACTGCCTGATACCTTCAGCCTCATCATCCCCAGGGCCTGAAGCCATGCAATCCCTGATCCCACTTTCTTTTCACACCCTTCTGAGCGCATACTTTGAACGCTGCCAACCTCCCCTTAGGAACAAAATCCTAACTCTATAGGACCGGGTCTGTGTAGGGTCGGTTGCTTTCCCTAAGTTCCAGCACGTTGTCCTCCAGGGGGAGGTGACAAAACGCATATGTCCCAGAGGGTCCCTTCTTTCTCTAATTCTGTTTTTATCTCACTCGTCATTTTCTCCGGGAAGTCTTTCCGAACTTCCAGTCCGATGAGTCAGGTCCTCTTGTTTTGATAATCATGCGCTCCTGTGTCTGCCCTCTCCACTAAAGTGAGGTTTCTGCAACAGAAAAAAAACTTTCATTTTTCACACACCCGACCAAGCACGTTGGGTCAGGCTGTGAGAACTCGAAGAAAGTGGATCCGAGCAGCGCTTCTACCGAGAACGAAACAACCGGGTTTAGGGAAATTTGCGTCAGGGATTTGGGAGCCCAGCCCTCGGAGGCCGCTCAGGGCTTCCTGCACGTCCGCATGGGTGTCCTTGCGGGCACACAGCCGGAACCCAGGCAGTTGGGTGAGCGCCGTCACGGGTGAGGTCGCAGCAGGGAGTTTAGGAAAATGCACACGTTCGCCCTCCGCGCTTTGTTTGTTGTGGCAGCGGGGCGAAGTCCTGCCCTGGCACGATGCACCACACACAATGCACCCGGCGAGCCCTAGAGACCCACGCTCACCGCAGCCACCACCGGCGGGAAGGCGCCCGGCGTAGCGCCGTCACACGCTGGTTCCCCGGCGCGCGGTGTGGGCGGGGCGTGGGCGGAGGCAAGCGCCAGCGGGGCGGGGCCGCGCGCAGGAAGCGCTTGGAGGCCCGAGCTGTCCCAGGGTGCCCCGCGCGGCGTGCACTCGGGTCGCTGCCGCCATCCTGCTGGCGAAAGAGAGGCGAGAGACAGAGAGGCCCGCCCGCTAGCCGGCCCGGCCAGTGTGGGCCAGTGCGTGAGGGCGCGGGGGGCCGTGTCAGCGCGACGCAGAGCGCAGCCGCCACCGCCAAACGGACATGTTGGAGCCCCGTGCTGCCGCCACCTCCCTTCCCTCCTCCGGCGCACGGGACTGAGCGGGGGCCCGCCGCTTCTGACTGCGCTCGACCGGCCCGGCCTCGCCGCCTCGGCCGCAGCCCCTTCCTGCTCGGCCTCGGCCTCCGCCGCTCGTCGCCTACCGTCCTCCTCCCCCCCACGCCCCAGGCCCTGCCGGCTCCCGGCCCTGCTCCGCCGCGGCGCGAGGTCTATGTGACCGGCGGGCCCGGAGCAGCCGCCGCAACACGAACATGGACGCCGTCAACGCCTTCAACCAGGAGGTGAGGGGTGCTCGGGGCAGGGCTGCTGCGGGCCAAGCGGGCCGCTTCTCCCGCTGCCCGAGGGTTTTTCGAGCACCGAGTCGGGGCGGAGACGCTTCCTGCCCGGGGTTCCGGGGCGGCGGGCCTGAAGCTGAGGAGAGGTCGCGGTGGGGGGCTGACCCCGCGCCCCTCCCCCGCCATGTCCCCTTCGCCCCCTTCCGGCCTGCGCCGGCTCCGGCTCCTCCAACGTGGCCCTTGTGCTCCCGGCCCGGCTATCGGCTCGGCGGGGCCGAGATCCCGCCAGGGGTTGCAGCGGAGCGCGGGTGGGAGGGCGGACTTAGGGGCGGGAGTTCCCGCGGGTTGGGGGACCGGGGCGGCCGCCGCCGCCTGCGCTCTCCTGTTGCTCAGGCCGCCGCGCGTCGGCCGCTGGACTCTGATCCCTGCTGGCGGAGAGTTCGAGAGGGTGTCTACCCTCCTCCTGCCTCCTGGCCTGACACGCTCACAAATAAGCAGAGAGAGGTGGTTCCTTAGTCTCTCGAGTCTGGAACGTACCCTTTCTCAACAACGTGACACCTGAAAAGTTGAATGGGAGAGCAGAGTATTTGCCCCGCCGTAGTCGGCGAGAAAGGCTGCGAGAATCTCGGCTTGCTCACCCTGCACTCTCCTCCCGGAGTACTTAGTCCTCAACTTCATTCTTCAGGAACATTTACACGTGAAAACCCCCCAAAACCGGGAACAAAGCTGCCTGCCGCCTTAAAGCTCTCTGATCGTCCAGGTGCTGCTTTGGGAGCATAAAGTCTATACCGTCTTATTTATCTTGAATGGGTTTGGGAGGAGGAGACGACCATTGATGCTTTAAAACGCAGTTACAGACTGGAAATATTGTGGGTTGAGTTCGGTTATGTTTCCCGTTTCAAATACTAAAGATAAACCAGCACTGAAGAAATCTGATGTCATAGTTTGACATGTGTTGATGTGGTGTCAGAACTTGCTCCATCGCACGGTAAGATTTCTGTGGCTGAACTTGCAATAGGATTGAGGTGTTACTCCCCTTTCGATTTGTAGTGCCCTAATAGGGGGCCGTCCACTTAATCCCACAGTTGAGAATATTTATTGTTGTACAGACTGTCCCGTCCCCCTACCCGTACCTCAGCTGATGAGTACATCACAGACTGCAGCACTGGCACATGGTGTTAGAAAGTGAACTGAGGAAGTTTACTAGGTGTGATTTTCAAAATAGCCAAATAATATTTCTGGAATTTGGATTCCCAGAATATTGGTACTAACGCTCCAGATATTCCAGAATTCAGCGTTGATTTTTGTGGCATTGCCTGGGACATTTGCCTCTTGGAGGGCAGTGTTTCAGTTCTTTTTCCCACCCCCACCCCCATGGTAGCAGGTGCCTGGCAAACTGTTCTTGGATAGATGGGAGCTTACACAAATGCCACAGTCGTTAAGATTTCAGGCACACCTCCCAAGATGAAAACTAACTTGTGTTTTTAATGAACAAGGATTTTTAGTGTGCTTTTAAAGGCCAGGAATATTCAATCTTGATTTGAGGTATTGTGGAAAGTGGTATCAAGTACTTTGTTAAGGTAGCAACATTAACGTCTGCATTTAGGCTTTGTAGAATACCAGGAGAGTGGTCAACAGATTAAGATTTAATGGCTGCTAAACCTTCTAAGAATGATAGAGTTTGAAGCTTAGAACGGATATAGCCTGAAACTGCAATAATTGCTTTGAAATACCAAACTTAGGGATGTTTGCACATTGAGAAGGGGAAATGCTATTTTGACCTTTTAAATGGCATAATGAGCATTTTCTCGTGTTCATTTTCCTTTTATTCCTCGTCTTTATGAACTTGAAGTCCAATTTGTTAGGCATATGTTTCCACTGCCAATTCTTTCTGCTAAATTGCAAAAATAAAACCTAGTTCTTCTGCCTTTTTGATTTGTAGTACTTCTCTACTCTTTCTCCCTGTTCAGAAAACGTTATTGACTGGGTCCTTGTGGTATCGACTCTCCCAAATCTAGTGTTGTTTTAAACATGCTCGCCTGTTCTTTGTTCAGTTGTGTCTTTAACACTGAGAAAAATCTCTTTTGTCACTTAGGGGTCTATCTGATGGAACTCTAGCTAAGTTTTTCCTTTGGGCTCTGCGTGTGCCAGGTGCCCAGGAGATGTCAGTGAGAACTTAGAAGGAGAAGGAACGGTGTCAGGGTTTCAGAGAAAGAGAGAGTTGGAAGGGGCAGCAGGTCTGCGGTGTGAGAAGTGGTCTGACTCTGGGAGCTGCCGGAAAGTAAGGACGGGAGTTTAGAGGGCCATGTTTTATGTTGAATGCATTTGAATGTCATGTTTAGGCTGTGGGAATCACTGAAGATTTTAAGTAGTACAATAGCAAGATTGAATTTAGCTTGTAGTAGTGTGGTGCTTTGTGGAAAGGCAGGTGTAATTTCGGGAGAGGCATGGAAGGATATGGGCCAAAGGAATTCATGGACCTTGGTGTCTAGTAGTTTTGTAAACACCTTTGTCCCTGTGTTCTGTATGCTGAGGTAGTGATGGTGCTAGCAGTACAAGTCAGTCGTCAAAAGTATGTTTAGCGGAGATCAACATGGGTTTGGTTTTGAAATAGGTTAAGTTGCTCTTGTGTGGAACAGTCATGGCTGTTTTTGGCAAGCAATCGGGCATCTAGTATTTAGAGTCAGAAGTAGCCGAAACAGGGACAGTCTCTCTCAGGTGGGTGCTGGTAAAAATTCCAGGGTGCAGGGGAGAGAAAGAAAATACCTACTATAGCATATTTGGCTTGTCATGCACTTTACATATGTCTAGTTTAACAGATACATATTCCTGCAGCCTTGCACAGACAAACAGCTACATATAGAGAGGTTGGTTTTCTTTCTTTCTTTGGAGACAGGATTTCTCTGTGTAATAGCCCTGGCTGTCCTGGAACTTACTTTGTAGATCAGGCTGTCCTCGGAGAGGCTGATTTTTCAAATATGTTAAATAATAATTCACACAAGGGCACATTTCTAAACTAATGGCAGAGCCAGGGTTTGAAGGTAGATCTCTTTGCTTATCTGATAAACTTTGTAGACTACCAAGGGAGTGGTCAACAGATTAAAGATTTAGACCACTGAACCTTTTAAGGGTAATAGAATTTGAAGTTTAGGGTTGAATGGATAAGGAAATATGAGTCTTTGGTGGTTTGGTTTTGAGCATTTAGAGGAAACGGCTGCTTTATGGGTGATGGAAAGAGAGAGGCTAACAGTATATATACTAGAACTGTTGAATGGCAGGCTATGTGTTTATGCATACTACACCGTAGGATTTTAGTCTTGGTAAGGAGGTAGGCTCTTTCTGAGATTGGGCGGTTGGAGTGGCACATCATAGACCCTAGTCTCTATTAGATAAAAGGAGGGGCCTCTGGTGTATAGACAGACAGAACATCAGTATTACTTGAAATCAATTGTAAAGGAGAGAATGGAGCATAGCATATTCAGGGAAGGGCAGGAAAAGGAAGTTTTAAGGCAACAAGAGAAGGGAGGTGAGGGTCAAAAGGAAAAGGACAGACTGGGAATGATGTCAAGGAAGTCTGTCTTTATAGATGGTGAAGAGAAGAGAGGTGATGTTACCAAAGGCACTCATAAACTTGGTATTTGGGTGCTTTATTCTCTCGATGACACACTGCTAAGTCTTGAGAAAGGTTGACCAAGGCAGGTCCACTATGGCCAGTACTTTGTGCTCTGCTATGTGCTTCTCCTCAATGTGAAAAGTTTAAAATTTTGCTGAAGTTTATTTTTTTTAAGGTTTATTTATTATATATAGTATTCTGCCTGCATGTGTGCTTGCAGGCCAGAAGAGGGCACCAGATCTCATTACAGATGGTTGTGAGCCACCGTTGGTTGCTGAGAATTGAACTCAGGACCTCTGGAAGAGCAGCCAGTGCTCTTAACCTCCAAGCAATCTTTGCAGCTCCCTGAAGTTTCTGAAGTTAAGGAAAGTTACAGAAATTTTTAGCCAGGCAGTGATGGCGCATGCTTTTAATCCCAGCACTAAGGATGTAGAAAGTTACAGGATTTTTTTAATCCTTTAATTATAAACTTAGGCTTTAAAAAGTAACATATCCTGACCTCCCCATTTATCTATAATTTTAAGATCTTTAAGGTATAAAAATAATATAGAAAACAATTTTTTAAATGAAAATATGAGTTATTTTCAATTTTAAAAAGTCCCTTTTCTCATTGTCCTCACCCAAGTCTTACTTTCAGCAGAGACAAGCAAATGATGAAATCTGACACCTGTTAATGATAAAGACAGAGTCTGTGTTTGTACTTATGTTGCTTATTGTGCATATTCTTAAACATGCTCACGAACTAATTCTACAGAGAATCCATGTTGGCTGATAAACTGCAATAAGCTTTGTTGAGTGTGCTCCTGTGCACATCTACTCTGATGACTCCTTTAGTCATAAATGTGAAGGACCACAGCAAACTGTTTCAGTATGTGTTAGAAATTTAAACTGGGGGGGCTGGAGAGATGGCTCAGTGGTCAAGAGCATTGCCTGCTATACCAAAGGTCCTGAGTTCAATTCCCGGCAACCACATGGTGGCTCACAACCATCTGTAAAGAGGTCTGGTGCCCTCTTCTGGCCTGCAGGCATACACACAGACAGAATATTGTATACATAATAAATAAATAAAATAAATATAAAAAAAAAGAAATTTAAACTGGGCATACAGCATGGGGACCATTGATGCAGCTACAGCCGGAAGCTCTGTTGAAAAAGCTCTGAATGAAAAAGGAATACGGGTTTGAACTCAGACCACAAAAAGGGCTTTCTGAGAGTTTTAGCAGCATACAGTGCTGCTTTGCAGTGAGGGAAAAATGAGTAATTTAATCTTCATTTTATATTAAAGTCAGACAAGTTAAGCTCATTTTATATTTAAAGTCAGACAAGTTAAGCTGTGAATATTTGTTACGATGTTCTACTGTCGGTCTTAACTCGGCACTTACCTGAGTATCCT